CCTAGATTATATCTTTTAATTTATATGAATGTTTAACAGAATAATATACAGCCTATGTCCACCCTGAAGTTCCATTCTAAATATTGGTGAAAGAATTTTTGAAATCGGGTGAGTAGTTTCAGAGATTACCTGCTGCATACAAACTTACATACATACAAACATTACCTCTTTATAATATTAGTATAGATTACAAACATGGTTAAGACTTATAAGTCTTAGCCATGTTTGTAATTATAAAACAAGGCTTAAGTCTTAACCATAACTTACAAGTTATAAGTTACAAACTATGAGCTAGGCATTAATTCCAACTTCAGAAAAGGAAATGTTTTCANATTTATTAAGTTGTCTAATGAAGATTTAAAACATGAATCAATAATAGTGTAAGCCAAATTTGCTAGTGTTTAAAATAAATTTAAGATATATGATAAGATAACCCTGTATTATTTATACTGATTGTCACTTGACTTCAATTACAGTTGGACTCTCATATTATGAGGTCTTAAATAATGAATTTTTATTTTTAACAAATTTTTTGTGGAATTTTGAAAATGTCTTTTTTTTTATGTATGGTACATTATTCATTTAATATAATATAAGTTCTCTATTTTTTTCATAGACAATTTGTTATACAGAAATTCAAATGTATTAGTTTTTAATATCTCTAATTCAAAATTCACAACACTTTTAAACTATAGGATTCTTTTTGCATTAGATGACATAGCTTATCATAAAGTACATACAAGTTTAATGTTTAAGCATAATATGTTACCATTATTTTTGATTTGGTTTTCAGTATTATTCATAATGATTTTGCCATAATTTATGATAAAATTTCAAGATATGAATATTTCATTTGGATTTTTAAAATTTGATATATTTCTATTTTCTTGATTTTGAGGATAATAATAAAAATTAATTAATAAATTTAACAGAGCAATATCTTTGTAGGAAAGATGCCAAGAAAACTCGTGAATTATGGTGGAAGGGTTTGCCCCCAAGCGTTCGAGGAAAAGTATGGCAACATGCCATTGGTAATGATTTAAACATAACAGAGGAGCTTTATGATATTTGTGTTAGTCGTTCAAAGGAAAAAATATGGATATCAGAATCTCATTCAGATACAGGTAGAATAAAAATTACTTTAGTTCAATAAATTTATTTGCTTAAATTTTTTAATAAATTACTTTTATTTATAAATTTGTGATTTTTTTTAAATTTTGTATTGTATTAAAATATAAAATCCAAAAAACAAGTGCTCAATGGGTTACAGGTGTCAGAGTGTAATGGGGTGAGACAAAACAGCAGACTAATTTTAAAGCATCATAATTTTTTAATTCAAAAATATTATTTTAAAATATTTGTGCCAAAAATTACATAATTATACATGGATGTTTTCAAACATTTATGAATCAGTTCAGAAAAATTTCTTCAAAAGAGGACATAGTATTGATTATATGAATTTATAAAATCATGATGATAAAAATTTTAAAAGTTTTAAAATTAGGACATATTAAGAGAGCACATTAAGACATTATAAGAACGTACAAAGGTCATAGCAGATAAACTGTGTATAATATTTTGATGTGGTATGAAATATCTAAAACATGGAAAAGAAAGTCAGTTGTTACAGTCATCATTTCCTATTACAGTAGATCTCCCTACTACGGAGTACTCAGACATCACATCAGTACATTGACAATATACTTCAGTCAATTGTACTGCCTGTAAAAACTGAAGAGCATTTTGACAAATGTTTGACAACAACAATTGTCATTGAACATATGTCTGTAAGACACTTGAGATGGGCACAAGGAAATAGAAGAGGGCTTGGCTTCAGAGTGCACTGCTGAAAAAATTGCTGAAATCCAAATGCAATGCAGATGATTCATAAGAAATTTTGGAAACAATATGTTTATTTTGTATGTTGAGGAGTACTTTCCTCTCTCTGGCAAACAGATGCCAAGAAATGAAATTTAATATGCAAGCAATGAAAATCAAGCACCCTGAAGTGAAGTACAAATTTAAGAAGAAATTTGATTCAAAAGTCCTGCTATACACTGTCAATTCAATAATAGATGTTTCAAAGAAGGAATCCTTTGCAATTGATGCTGATACATACCAAAATGAGTGTCTAAAGAAATTTCTAATCCCTTTCTTAACAAGCATCATCAAAATGATTTCATCTTTTGGTCTGACAAAGCTTTGTCTTTCTACTCAAATTTAACTGTGGAGTTCCTGAAAGCCAAAAACATTCCTTTTGTACCCAAAGAACAATCCATAAAATCTACCACAATGCTGGCAATTTCTCCCAATCTCTGGATATTTGGCACAACTAGTATATAAGAAAGGTTGGCAAGTAAAAAATACCACACAACTGATCTAAAGAATCAGACCTTTATTTAAAAGTATTGATACAAAGGCAATATGAAAAAGTTGCGAGACTATCAAAACAAACTTAAGCATACCACTGATTGTGGGCCATATGATCATGTTCATTAATTCTATACTAATGTACAGTACATAACATTTTTTTTAAATGAAGTATCTATTAAATATTATATATCAAGTTTTCAATAAAATATTATGCTTTAAAAACAGCCCAGATTTTTTACTCTTACCCTGTTATATAAACAAAATGCTTTTTGAGAATTTGTTTTGACTTCATCTCTCTGAGTTGAGAATCATTTATGTATAGATTCTATTTTCTTTGGTATGTATAAAATATTGAAAAATTTCATTGTCATCAAAGATTATTATTTTACGAAAACTCAAGGTTTTATATGATATTAAATGATACAAGTGAGCTTAACTTTTGAAATGTACAATAGCTAAAGAACGTTTTACTATTGACTATTTTAATATGCATTATTTGATATTAAGATCAGGATTGACATTTCAGTGATTATAAACAGAAAAAATAATTATGATTTATTTAAAATGAGTTTATATTTTCTACTTACATAAATATTTTGTTTAGACTTGAAATATTATGACACTTCAAATTAATTATGATCATTTCTTTCCAATTTCATATTTACTTGCTACAAAATATTTTAACTATAAAGTTCATATTGTAGCAATTTGAATTATAATTCATGCCAAATATTTTTGCTGACTGAGTTTATATAGACAATGATGATGTGTTACTAATACTTAATTAAAATAATCTTTAGGTTAATGATAAAAATTACTCAAAAACTAATCTTATTATTGTTGCTGTATTGATTTATGTTATGTAATAAGATAAATATAAAAATAACAATACATTTTAAAATGTAAATTGTGTTGAAACATTACTTTTCTATTTAAATAATTTTTATCTGATAAAAATTAACATTAAAATTTTCCAATAGCAAATGCCAAAGGAAAAGAAGGTGCTGCAGAATTTATTAAACTAGATGTGTCTCGTACGTTTCCACAGTTGGGAATATTTCAAGAGGTAATTTAGATTTTAAGTTCTTATAAAAATTTTCAAGTTTGATTTCATAGTTGAAAAAAATTACGTAATGAAACAAGTTGAGATGATGATAATTCTAAAAGGAACTGAAATTATATGAAGCATTTTTGAGATCTAAAAGTAAATAAATATATACACACTTACTATTACTAAAAATTTCAGAATTTTTTTGTTTGCATAATGTTCTCTAATTATTATAAATTAGTATTTTATTTTTTTGTATCTATTCTGTATGGTATGCAGTAGTTATGGGATCATGTCCTATTCTAGGCTGAGTTTTTTTTCTTCCAGAATTTTATGAATTAAAAATGAATTAATTTGTAATTATTAAATTTATCAGATGATGATGGCATAACTGTCTATCTCTAGCCAAATTACTCTAATTATTAAAATTAGCCTTAATATAGCCTGATAATACAGTAATTCATTTGGCTTTACTAAAAGTCAATACCTTAATCAAATTCTTAATTTTAGTTTTTGTAAGTATAATAAAATCAAATATTTTTTAATTTTTAATGCATATATTGAAATTGAAAAAAGGATAACTCTTTCAGAGATCATCTCAATTAATACATTGTAGAAATTTAATAACTTTAAAGAAACAATGATTCTAGATTTAGAATGCTGTAATGTCTAACTTCAAACAGTGTTTTAAGGATGAAAACACTTCAATTTTACAAAAGAAATACCCTAAACAAAACAATATTTTAGTAGCTTAACAAGATGAAAAAACATGATTTCGTTCAAAAATCTCAAACACTTGCATTCTAAATTGAGTTGATGATGGCCAAATTCCTTTTCAGTTCTCTCTCTCATCAAAAAAAAAGTTCATTATTCATTATTTTTTGTTTTCCATACAATAAAAAAAATAATTGTTTATTTATTCAAAGCTATGGTTTAATTAAAAATATTTATTTAAATCAGTGTTTCTCAACCTCTAACGAATCGTCGCCCCCTTTACTTCAAAATTCCGATGCCGTGGGCCAGGGCTAACGCCAAATTCGTACTGCATTGAATAGACTACTGACTAGTATAATGTTATTTGTTTAATTATTGTACGATATAACGAATAAAATATTTAATTAATCTTGATATAATGTTTTACTATATCGTTCAGAAAATTGTTTTTCGCCCCCAAAATATAAATTGTTACAAATCACCCCCTCAACATGGAAAAATGCCCACATGGGGCGATATCGCCCCCGTTGAGAAACACTGATTTAAATGAATGTTTTAAAAGATTTCAATATAGTTTTTACTTTATTAATTTATTATATAGTTCTGGAAAAGTTTTATAGAAAATTTGCACATAAATAAGATTTAATCCATTGGTGTAGACATTCATGAAATATAAATGATTAGTTAAATACTACATCTTATTCATAATCAAGAAATTTCATATTCGGACTAATATTACATAAGAAAGTGACTAATTACCAGTCATTATAGATAGCATCAACATAACTTGTCTTGAATGTAACTCTAAAAAATTATAAATAGAAGTTATTAAATTATTTTAAAAATAAAGAAATGAAATTTAAAATTGAGAAAATTTTACAAAACAAAGATTAAACACTGAGATTTATAAAAACACATACAATCTAAACTTGAAATAAATTGTGAAATTTATGATGAAACCATTTACCTCCATCTTGATGTCCCTTGAGATCTAATACTTTTGATTCAAAGAATTTTTTGTAGAATGAGTATTTTTGGGTTATTTCAGTCAAATGATTAAAGTAGAACACACTATATGCAGTATATTAGTGGTTCCCAACTTATTTTAATTGTGGAACTCCTTTCACCTTGACTAAAAGTTTTGAAATGCTGATGATTTTTACTGCCTGTAAATAAAACCAAAAAAACAAAATCTTATTGAAAATTTAAAAAATGGCTTATTAATGAAAAAGTAAATAATAATAATTCAAACTGATAGTTAATGTGAAGGATTAATTTACACAAATAATTTTGTCAGTGAAAATGATTGGAACCCAATTAGCAGGAGAATCAAATGCATTGAATTTTTTTCACAATTTGCTAGCAGCAACACACTTGAGTATCTCACTCAATTCTCCTGCCATTAGACTCAATGTTATTTTTCACTAATGTGAATCATGTAGAAATCTGTATTTAAAACAGCATAAAAATTCCCGACAATAAAATTATTTTAATGTCGGAAATTTTTATGTTTTAAATAAGTTTGTAACAATTTTAAATTGAAAATTTTTAGAGAATGTTGGTAAAAAATCTGCTGATGAGGGACCAAAAGGTCCGAAACACAAAGATATCGTGTCTGTGTTCAGGTGATAAATAAAGACTGTTATTCTGAATTTGTTTACTTAATTTTCAAAACCAGTTATCTAGTATAATAAGTCCTAATAATAGATATGTCCTAGTTGACAATTTATCTTAAAATTATTTACTTATAGGTCTTTAAGACAAATGATACAAATTTAACACAGTTAGTTATTTAAAAACTTATAAGTTACGAGTAGTTATCTTTCTTTTTTTTTAAGAGGTAGTAATTAAATTTTCAAACCATGTTTTTGTTTTCAGGGAGGTCCTTATTATAGTGTTCTGCAAAGTATGCTGGGTGCTTATGTAATTTATCGTCCAGATATTGGATATGTATGTGATAGTCATTCGACTATTTATATTTATGTACAGAATATAGTTAACATGTTATAATATATTATGAAAATTATTAATAGTAGTTTAACGCTGATTTAGGTACAGGGTATGTCTTTCATTGCTGCCATGTTACTTTTGAATATGGATGCAGTTGATGCATTCATCTGTTTTGCCAATTTATTAAACCGGCCATGCCAACTGGCATTTTTCAGAGTGGAACAACACATGGTGAGTTATAAAATGAATGCATTCATTTCAGTATTATTAAAGTATATATTTATTTATTTAGTTTTAATTATTAATTTACTTAAAAGATGGTGCCTAACATCTACCTCTAGTGTCATATTACTTTATATCAAACATAAATATAAATCCAACAGGCACACCGGGTGATATAATAAAATAAAATTTGACTTACATAAGCCTGTAACCGATGTGAAACAGCAAAAATTCTAACTCACAAATGTTTTCTGAACACCTTCCGTGTTCTTCATCAGGTATTCAAACTGGATTTTTTTCCATATTCTGGAACACTGTTATAAAATTTAAAATAAATTTAAAATAAAACGATCGATGATAGTTCGAATGCGTGATGTCCATTGCGCACGCGTTGTACACATCGTGTTCGCCGTTGTTCGGCTTCNGTTGTGGGGTCTTTCCCCCCTTTTTCTCGGTGCGGACTTACTTTTTTCCGCTTGGGAAGCGCAAGTGTGCGCGAGTTTTCTACGGCGCTTTTCTTTCGTTGGTGAGTTGGTTTTTCTTCTATTTTTAAGTTACTAAGGTGAATGGTGAGGAAACTTCATCCTAACAAAACATAAGCCCCAAACAAAAATAGAATAATAAGCAAAATAAAAGTAAAATAAAAATAAAGCTCAGACTTGGTTCCTTACAAGATAGTCACATAAACATGTTCTCTGCTCTTTTGGTAGAAACTAGTGATGTAACGAATATTCGGTTACTATTCGGTATTCGGCCGAATACCGAATATTTAATCACTATTCGGCCGGATACCAACTACCTAAAAACAGAAGTAAGAAATAACAAAAACTCATTAAATTAATCATTTTGGTATTTAATGTTATCGGGTTAGTGTTGTTTGTTTATATTTATTTATAACTTATAACATGCACAAAATAAAAAAAAATAATATTAGACACACTTTTTCACAATTTATAATTACAAAGATCAGCACATGCACATACCTATTTGTTCGAGAATCGTCGCACACATCTGAGGGTCTGATCCTGCCTATCCTTTTTTTTTTTTTAAGCGCTCGTCTTTGCTCTTCGCTTTCTCTTTTCTCTATCGCTCTAGTCCACGTATGCCTATGCATACATCATAATACGCGCTCATGATACTTTCGATTTGTCACTTTTCCGTCGTGGATTTCCCATTTTATAATTACGTGATTCAAAGCCTGGTAATAACAAAGAAAAGAGACAGATAGGACATCGGTATAAGTCACAACTATGATTTCACAGATTTGAGACAGCTTGGTAGCCCGAACAGCCCTAGGCTTTCACTTGTGCATGCTAATTGACTTTCATTACAAGCATTTAGCTTTCCGTTCAGAAGCCTATCACAACAATTGTTTGGCATTGACAACAGCGAATTTCGCGCGAATAAGATGCCTCGAATTATTCGATTATGTTATCAACTCAATTTCATATTTATTTTCACATTTTCACTTCGCAATTCTTCTCTGTTCTTTTTCCGTTATTTATGCGTGTAGGTCATTTCATTGTTATCCACATTTAATATCATTTATCACATACAGTACTGCCATGACGCTCTTGTCTGTCCGCTACAACTGTCAAGAATTAACGCGATTGACGAAGCGTAGTGACAGCAGGCCAATAGAGAGCAGGGTCCTTGCCATAATGCGTTTTTCGCGCCAATTTTCGTACGTGCGTTAATCAAGCTGAATAGTTTGGCCAAATATTCGGCTATTCGGCCACGCTCCTGGCCGAATATTCGGTATTCGGCCTGAGGCCGAATATACTATTCGTTGCAACACTAATAGAAACTATATAGCAGTAAGATGATTGAACTGTGCGTCCAGGAAGATGGACACGTCCATTACAAATATGGATGTCCAGAGTGACAAGTACTTGAATGGATTGTGGAATTAGGAGAGCAGCCATTACAGCATCAATGGCATTTCTCTTTTCTATCCAAAGGAACATAACTTCCTCTATGCTACATGTAATATCAAGAAATACCATTCAGCAATGCCTGGAAGAAGCAAGATTTCATTTCTACCATCCCCTAAGACATTTTCAACTGACCACCTGACATAGGCAGTACCATCTGGAATGATGTCAATCTGGGAATCTTGGAGTCATATAGCATTCAGTGATGAATCATTCTTCTTTCTGGACACATGATCCATTGTATCTATATGTAGAGGAGATATGATTGCTGCTCTGACTACTATTATAGTAAAAGGTTACAGTCATCATTTCCTATTACAGTAGATCTCCCTACTACAGAGTACTCTGACATCACATCAGTACATTGACAATATACTTCAGTCAATTGTACTGTCTGTGATGTCATGCCTTCTGGGGTTATTTATCAGCATGATAATGCAAGACAAGGAAATCTGATCAATGTTTCTGTTGGATTTATACTCTTTCATCACCAGCCAGATTTCCACACATCTTGCTAATTAATCATGGGAAGGAGATACTATGAATGCAGTTTCAGAACATCTGGCAGCATCACAAGACATTAGATTGTTGTTTTATTCCACTCCAAGCTATATATTGGACTTTATTGCTAAAAGAGGATATTTTATTATATACTAACATGTGACTATTATGTTGCATTTTGTGCTCTAATGTCGACNCTAATTCATTTCTTTAAAAAAAATTAAACTAAATAAATACTAATTTACTAATATTTTATAAATATTAATGGTGTGTGTAATCGAAATTTGAAGTCAACAGCTTTAAATAATATAAGATTTTATGTCTTCTAATATAAGCTAATGTAAGATATCCAGTAAGTACTATAGGAAGATGTCTTAAAAAGAAAGTAAAAACAGCTGTATTGTGTAGGAAGACTAAAAATTTTTCCATTATTATATGTATTTTCAATTAGTTTGTTAAAGAATATAACACACTTTTTGCCTTGAAAGTTAACACAACTTCTAAGAAATCTAATGTTCCTCCAACAATTCAGTTATTTTCAAGCAATTTAAATTATAAAGTTAAATGATTGACAGATTATATTAGGGTATATTAATGCTACTATTAATAATTATGTAATCTGACTTGGATATAGGCCTTAGGTACAATCTCTTAATAAAATATTAATTTAATCGTAATTATTAAATTTATCAAGAGATGGCACCTAATGTCTTTGTCTACTCCAAATTACTTAACATTTAATTACTAATAGTAGCATTAATATAGCCAATACAATCTGACAATCATTTGGCTTTAACACTAATAATTGAGTTTTTAGGTGTTTATATTTAAAGTTTAAATTTTCATAATTTAATTATTAAATAACAATATGTCTAAAAGTTGTAGCTTTTTAGTCTTAAATAATTTATAGATACCAATTAAAATAAATAACTGACAATTTTTATTTATAGAATGAAAGCCTTATAGACATTATAAAAAAACTTTTGTAAATGATACATCATCATATAATTGTTTGGTGATTATTGAAACTAATCTGAGTTAGTGTTTAAATCAATATCTGTGTATATTATTAAGTAAAAATGTTTAGTTATATTTTTATTTACAATATATTATTGACTTCTTCAATAGTAATTTTATGCAATATAAAATTTAATAAAAATAATTTTAGATATTTAGCTAAAAGAAAAGTTATAACAATTGTAAAAAGTGACTTAAGTTTTGATTATGCTTTATTTATTATTTTGTATTTTTGTATCATCATATTAGATGACAGCATACTATTCTATGTATGAAGAATTTTTCAAGGAAAATTTAGGAGCTCTTTTCAATCATTTTGATAAGCAGGGATTAAGTTCTGACTTGTATCTTGTAGATTGGTAAGTTTTTAGTTTAATAAGCTTTCATTATTGAGAATTAATAATATAGAATTAAAAATTAATTTTTTAATTTGCAATGAATATACATGAATGTCTATTTTAGGATTTATACGCTCTTCAGTCGATCTTTGCCACTTGATGTAGCTTGTAGAGTATGGGATGTGTTTCTCAGAGATGGAGAAGAATTTCTTTTCAGAACAGCATTAGGTAAAAATATCTCATTAATATTAATTCTAAAAAATATGATGATAAATATCAAACATATATGCTGCTATCTACAGATTTGAATAAAAAAATAATTTTTCCATTACCTAATTCTTACTTTCACTCTGTTATACATAACAGAGTGAGGAAAGTATGGCAGTTGGTCAAAATTGACCACTCCAAGATTTTTACATTTTTTGACTCGGGGACTGTGAAATATCAAGAAATGCAAATAAAATTTGAAAGTTTCTGTATGTATAGGTGTTAGTGTGTCTGGGGGACATGATTTTTTTCACCCAATTTGAAACTTAATAACTCCCATGCTTTTGTTGAAAAGTTCTGAAATTTTCCAGGTAGGTTTGTGTATTGGGGATTGATGCTATCAACCACCTTTACTCAAGAGTGAGTGCTGCACTTATCTTTTGTTTTAAAACGCTCATAACTAGGACTTTTTGGAAGTTTTATGACCAATGTGTCATCTACCTTCCATTCTGAGTATCCCCTTCAACAAAATACTGGAATCAGAAATAATTGTTATGCTAACACTTTCAGTGCTACCTTTGTTTCAGTCATATTGGATGAGTTAGTATGGCACTCTCCTACGACTAATTGTGTGTCTTTTGCATTTGAAGTGGTATGATTCTAATTGCAAAGTGATATTGTATATATAGGTATACCTCGCCTTACGTCGGTAATTGGTTCCAGGAGAACGACTTAAGTCGAAAAACGACGTAAGTCGAATTTACTTGTCTCCAAATCTACTTGCCACTAGGCTAAACCATAAATTACCAATTCCCATTCTGTATTTTATTTATTAATGCATTTTTAATAATATATGGTTAATAAGGATCTATTTTAAGCTTACAAACAAATAAATTTTAAATCAAGGTTGCTTGTTGTTCTCTATTATATGTGTTTGGTTAGCACAATGTTGCTGTTGAGAACGTATCATACAGGAACACTTTAAGAGGAAAAAGGTTGCTTTATTGGCTTGGATTGATATGCATTTCGGGCTTAATGCCCCTCTTCAGTCCTATTATTATTACATAATTATCAAATTGGTTACAGGTATCAAAATTTACAGAATTCATTTAAAAAATTAGTATACGCGTACAGTGATTTATATGATAAAATACAATTACCTGAGATAGTGACCATTAAGCTGGTATTACACATAAGATATATATACACATATTTAAACACGGGAGGAGGAATGAGCAAATAGTGCTATCAGATCAATATACATGCACCTGAGGATAGTATAATGTGTGTTAAAATAAAAAGTGGTATGCACAAAACTAAAAAAGTATATATTAAAAAGGTGTAAATTATGAAAAATTAACGAAATACCTGTAGGATGTGACATAATACAGAAGAGATGTGTAGAGAACAGGTCTGATGGGAGATGTTACAAAGAAGTGAGGGATCCTTGTAACATATACAGAGGTTGGTGGGAATTGCACAGTGGGGGTTAAGGTGGGAGGATGGTAGGACAACTTAATGGGCTTTGCATCTTAGGAAAGGCTGCCAGATGTCATTTATGACAGTACCAGTATTTAAGTTCATTCTGTGTGTTTCTTTAGTTTTAATAATTTCGATATGTTCGTAGAATTTCCTTTTAAAAATGTTTTTTTCCCTTTTAAGTATTTTGATGCTGTCGGGTGAGATCTCGCAGCCAGTTTGGTTGCAATGAGTAGCAACTGCAGAGTTGATGTAATTATATTTTATGGCTCTAATATGTTCATTTATCCGGGTTTTTAGTACTCTACTGGTTTCACCTATGTAATAGAATTTAGGATGACAAGTACAGGCAAAGCTGTAGACTAGATTGTTATTAAGTAAAATGTCTGTGTTACTATTACTTTGTTCATTGATTTTTAAGGAATTTTTGATTTTATTGTTTAGTGTGGGAGCTAAAATAATGTTATATGGTGTTAAGATCTTTTGGATGTTTTCAAAAATAGTAGGGATATAAACTAACTTTTTGTAAGTTACCTGTGTTTTTGGTTTGGGTTGACGAGAAGGGGGGTTGTGTAGCCATTGGTAGATGATTCTGTTGGGGTAGTTATTTAATTGAAAAATGCGGTAAATTTGGTCAATTTCGGTGTTTTGGTTAGTAATATTACTAGTACGAGTTTTGATTTTGTTGATATACATCATGAATATGTTCTTTTTAATGTACATGGGTGTGCTGGAGTGGAAATTTATTACTTTATTGACGTTACATGGTTTTATATATTTTTTAAAAGTAATGTGCTTGTTATGTCTGTGTATGGTGATGTCTAAAAAATTGAGATTGTTGTTGTTTTCATTTTCAAATTCGAAAAGGATGTTTTTTTGGATATTGTTGGCCTGATGAAGTATGATATGAGGGTTGGTTAATTGTTTGTTATAAATAACAAAGCAGTCGTCGACATAACGGTTGTAGAATATTACACCTTGTAGTTTATGGATGATATTGTCTATGTTGATCATGCAAAGTTCAGCAAGTTTGGGGCCGATGCAAGTTCTTCAAGCAATACTGTTCCTGTATGATACGTTCTCAACAGCAACATTGTGCTAACCAAACACAAATAAATTTTAGTTTTTAATATAGTACAGAAAAAAGTAATTTAAATTTACGAATGCATGTACTGTAAATACAGTATATACTTGTAAATGTATATACAGTCGACCCCCCTATAACACTGTTGATTATTCCGTTTTATATGAATTCCATGTTGTACGAGTCACTTAGATTTTACAAATATGTGTGCCGGGCTGTAAACGGCTCATGTATTTGTAAAATCTAAATGAGTATTATAATATGATTTTATGTGCTTTAAACATTTTTCTAGTGATATTACGACTTCAATATTTGTGTCGGACAGACGTAAAGTCGAATAAAATGACTTAAACTTGATTTTTATTTTTCCGTATACTTTTTTGACAAACGACGTATAATCGGGAACGACGTAACTCGAAACGACGTAAGTCGAGGTATACCTGTACATGCTATCATAAAATATGATGAAATGCTTCAGAAATGGCTTGATGAAGAGTCCGAGGAAGAAAATGTAGGCTCCTGCCTTGCAGACAATGAGAGTGATGATCTTTGAATGAAAATTCTGGAAGTGTTGAGAAAGAAACCAGATCCTCCACAGGCAACATCAGTATCAAGAGAAAAGTGTGCATATTGCCCAAAAAAGAATACAAACACAGTACCCAAGAGTGTAACATGTAGCCTACTGCATTGATCTGCAGATACCACATAATAAAAATATGCAAACTATGCCATTTTAAAAATCCAGACAAAACAAATTCAGAACTGGAATAGAAATTATGATTAAATTTAACAATATCCATATGTTTTGTATCAACTGGATAGGTTACAACAAAAAACACGCCTTTAAAAATCCAGCATTGAAATTTACTAAATAATAATGTTTTTGATCAGTTTGTTATTTATTTTGAATTCTTGTTATTGTGAGCCCGAGGGTTTACAGGGCATAAATTTTTGAGTTTAACATATTTTTACATTAGAGGATGAAAAAAATTTATCACACGTTATAACGGAAATAGATTGGCTGGCGAATCTTACACATCGTCCGTTTGTTAATTAGTCAACGTGCGCGTGATAATTAGTCAGCATAACGAGTGAACGATCTGTTGGCTCAGTGCCAACGACGATCGTATAAAAACGATCGTCACGGGAAGTTCCGGGCGATCGTCCCCTCAGTGCGACCGTCCCTCCGCGAGATCATCAGGAAGGTCTGAGTACAGTGTCTCCCGATCCTGTCTGAGGAGAAGCCAGCTTCCATAGTTCAGGATGATCGTCGCGTACCGTCCTCCAACATAAGGTATAATTGACCGCCAATGTAACTCTCTCACTCTAGAGCCTTTATAAACTCTCTCTCGCGGCATAGTGAATAGTTAGATCGCTATCATAGATAGATTTGTGTTATCCACATTTACGTCTTAAGTCTGTAACGTTTTTACATATACTCCTGTAAATTAACTTTAGTTATAGAATAAACCTTTATTTTTGTTATTTGTTAAACCTGTCTTCTGTCTATCCGAGGAAACCTGTCGACTTACCGACGCACTCCCCACTCGATTTGCCCTCCTAGCCATCAGAACGATCTGAGATCGGGCCTTACCAGCCTGTGCAGATTAAGTGGTCAGTACCAGATTAACCCCTGACTTACTGCTTATCTCACATTATTATTTTTTTAATTTTGTATTTTCACGTTCTATTTTATCATAACTGAAGATGATCAGTTAAAACTGATCAAAAACGTTATTATTTAGTAAATTTCATTGCTGGATTTTTAAAGGTGTTTTTTGTTGTTTTAAATTTAACAATAATTTCAGATATCATATTTCTGTTTTTATTGATCTGATTGATCTGACCAGATATCAATTTTCTGTTTCTGGATCAAAATTACTTTTAATGTATTCTAACTGAAGTAAAGTAAGAAACATTAAAAAATTGTATTATTTGTAACAAAAGTTCCTCATCTAAGTAAAATTTCTCAACACAAAACATTAAGAATACAAAAATAAGTAGGGTGAGTGTGGTGCTCACTCTTGAGTAATGGCATTACAACTGCGAGTAGTGCTGAGTTAAATTTTGGTGGTTAAAGGTTGATGGGTGGGGAGTTAAGAGGGGAGTTGTGTCATATCTTGAGTAGGGTCAGACTTAAAGATGATTTTACTTGTTATTAGCATTTACAGTTTTTATAAAACCCATCCCTATTCTCAAAATTAAGCTTTTTGCCATTTTATAATAATTTTATTAATTAAAAAACTTTTTATATAATTATAGTAACAAGTGGTGCCACATGCAGTTTTAAAAGTTGTGCCAGGAAAGTTAAGCAACTCATTCCTGAATTTTTTTTTTATATGCAAAATTTTATAAAGTTTAATTCATTTTTGAATTTTGATTTTCTTTTTACATATAACATTTTAATTAACCATATGAAACTTTTCAGAATGAATACATTTTTGGATGGTTACTTATTGATACATATTATATATACGTAGGCATAAGTGTGTGTATGTGTAGAAAATTACATCATACATTCACACAATTAACTACTTATGAGTCATCACAAATGTATTAGTATTGCCATTATTTTAGGAACTGAAATCACAGAAAATTGTAGTGGAAGTTACATAATTTATTTAGCACTCCATAAACATTGCTGTATCATCTCTTCATACATAATATATATTCAGTTTACTATTCAAACATGCTATTACCTAGTGATGAAAACATTAGCATCAAAAGTACTGTAACTCTACTGGACATCTACTTCAGAGTAAGAACTAATTAAGTGATCAGAAACTTTAGGTATGTTTCTGTAGTTTGCTTTTATTCTCAATGTTTCTCACTTCCTCAAAGGTAAACGGGAAATTTTTAAATAAGTTGAAGTTAACAAATGCACTGGATACTGTACTCTGGAATTTCCCAATCAACATTACTGACATTAGCATCTAAATACACATCTCAATAGTGGATGTGAATTTTTTAAAAACTTGTCACAATTTTACTTCAACTTAACCAAAAAGTTCAAATTAAAGAGGAATTTTTTACATTACTTTTGGAGGAAGTTCAGTGATCCGGAGAAAAGTATTTCACAATATACTTTTGCTGTAATTGTTGTGCTCAGTTTCACGAAAACTACCAAAAGCACATTTTTTTGGACCCAGAGCACATTTGCCATAAACTTTCAGGCAGATTGACTTTGCTCAAACTTTTTGCTATTTGTGAATTTGAATGATGCTATTACATACATTGGTATAAAAAAAAATTCACATTACATTACCAGTCACAATGTGGGGAAAAAATTTATCTTCCTCTTTTTGATAGCAATCCAAAAATACGTGAGCCAATGTCATTCTGTGGTTTTTGTGAGCATCCATTAATATTTTCAGTAATCACCTTGCACACAGTTTGCAATGGCCTAAAGTTTCAATTCAGAACAATGTTGTCCAAGAAATGTCTGGAAAGTCCCTGGCAAGAGCACTAATTGGGAAGTGTCAATTTACTTGCACTTTTAATTCATGTGCTTAGCAACAATCAACATTCTTGCTAAGCACATGTCTGGGCACTAGGCCTACCACTCTGCTCTTAATTGTGAATATTTGTATGGCCTTTCTTAAATTCATGGCACTATTTTCATACTTTTACTTTGCTCATTACTGTAAGCCTGGAAATTTCACAGTTCACAGGAATCTCAGAAACATGATGGCATACTTCCAGAATGCAGAATTGTGATCCCCGTTATCATTATGCAATAACACAAAAATAACCAACTTCAGACTGGTGAAAGTATGACTGCTAGAAGCCCAGAGTACCAGTTGATGCTATTGCACAAACATGATTTGAATGTTGTAATCATTCGGTGCTTTTCCCTTTTTTTAGAATAGGCCTTGTATAAACAAAACTGTTTTACTATCTTCCTTATTTATTGTATTGAATATAACGTGTTACTTATGGATATGATACTCATTGTGTATTGAAATGAAGCATTTTTGGTATTGCTCAATAATTTTGCAATTGGACTTTGTATCATGTACGTGATAAAAAAAATTTAGAATTCATTTGATTTAAAATTTCATTCAAACCCAAATATGTGACTGTTTAAATTTAGTAGTCTGTTATTGATGATGATGATTATTATATATGAAATGGTCTAAATTGATATAAATTTCTTTTTTGAAAAAGAAGAAAAATAATTATTTCATTTAACATTTTGTGTGCGAAATAAAATTAAATATTTATTTTGTTAAATAAAATCTCATTAGACATCATCCACGCATTAGAACTTTGATTATTTGAATTGATTCATTCTGCAGGTGATTTGGATAAGTGGATTAATATGTAAAGAATAAAATTACAAGGGTAATGGCACAGTGTTGTAAACTTACTGTATTCATTTATTCATTGTTTTGCAAGTAGCATCCTACTGGTCATTTGGATCTGCCAAAGCAAACAAGTGTCACTGATTATGCACTCTTGTGACATAAGAGAATGACATCAGTGGAGGAGAGAGAGAGAGGAGGAAAAAAGATGATTCAGATAATTGGACATTTGGTTAATCAGAGTTTTACTGTAGTAATTAATAAAATGTGATTTAAGATGTTTACATATACTGTAGCTTTCTATGCCAAGAGTGATTCCATCAAAATTGGATTATTTTTAAATTTTAATAGAGACTTTAAATAAAATAAAATTTAAGTGCATTAATTTTGTGTGATTTACGAATTAATATTCTTAGATATACTTTCCATTAGAACTTTAAAAATTATCCATCCACTTGTAACTGTTGGATTGTTCAACAGTTTGAGTAAACAAATGTTACAGTTCTTTCTAGTAAATTTGGATGAAAATTTTCTACATTTTATGTAATGATTGAATGAATGATGATACAGAAATGTATTATATTTTTAAATTTATTGTTCATAATAATACGAGTACTATATTTGTAGACTTAGATGAATAAATGATTATAGAATGGTAAATAAGTTAAACTAATATTTAGCTAGATTATAAACATACTCATTTTGTAAATATACAATTGTTTAATTATAAAATTAATCTCTCTCTATCATGCATATTCTAACATAGATTACATTCTGTATTTTCACATTAACAGTTCTTGCTTAATATGCAGTATTAAAATACTTACTTTCTAACATCTTAATGTATATAAATTAAGTTTAGTTTTACCATTTGTTAGTATCATTTTAATGTAATAATTTTTCAATAAAAAGTAATTAATATTGATCAGTTATTCTAATGGTAGATATATTANAACATATGTATAGAAATATATTATTTAATATTAAATGATTTGAATCAAGTATCTATACAGATAAAAATAAAATGAAATTCTGATTGTTGTTACTTTTTTATAATTATTTCATAAAATCAACTTGATATCACTATAAAAGTCCTCATTTATTATTAAATCTTGCATAGATTCATACAGTTAAGTACTTACAGATATTCACGAGGTGCATTTTTTCTATTACGTCTCCATAAATATTTTTTCAATTAAAAATTAATGTTTTATATTATAGTAATGCATTAGTATTTAAAATTTTTAAAGTCTATTTCATCATTTAAAAACTTTAAATCATGCATTAAAGAATCTAAGAAGAATTTTAAATATATTAACTCTTAAAAGCTATAATTGTAAAAAAATTACTATTTTTTGGAACTTTTACTTCATCCAAATTTGAAAAATGTATTCGTTATAATATTCTATAATATATTTTCCCGGCTTTGTTGCCATTGTAGTCTGTCGTTATATTTATTGTTGACATTTCCATTATCAAGACTTCATATTTTTGCTATTCGTAGTTATGTTTAGTTAGCGAACATTGTCAATGGATTCATTATTAACACGTATTCAGTAGATATTTGAAGAAGCTAATGCTGATTGACGGAGGATTAATGAAAGACGACAGCAAATTTTTATATTGTCTTTGAAGCAGATTTAGTGCCAATGTATAGTACATACCTCAGAGAATTAAAACTTTTTAATTGCTGGGTTAATTAAAATATCACAGTTAATAATTCATTGGGAAATAAATATCAATATAAGTTTTAAAAAGCATACAAAAAGCCTGTCCTGTCTTATTCAAAATAATGCATAATTAAAATTTAATTAATTTATTTAAGTTCAATAATAAAATTCTTAAGAAACAATTTTTCAAATGTAAAATTTCGTTCTAATTAAATCCTGTTTTGTAAATTTCTTTTTTCCCACTTTATATAATTAAATTTTGAATTTTAATTTTTCAGTAAATATTTTTTTATGTAGAAGATAATTCTGTTTGGTTTGTTTTGTTTTTTACAATAGGTAGCTGTGTATAAGTAGAATATATTTTCAAACCCATGAATATTTTCAATATTATTACTAGTAAGTATGCTTTTCTTTACAGCTTTTCCTAACACTAGAATTACTATTTTTTTTTATAATAATATGACCGACATCAGTCTCAATTAAGGTAATTTTCTGATCATATTACGAGTGCAAACATCTTTTAAATTTTATCAAGAATATTATATTTCCTCTGTTATTAACACAAGATGCTACTTTAATTCACGTTAAGTCACGGTGGAATTTAAGAATATTTTAACAATAGACTAATATTCATATGAAATTCCATCAAATAACCAATGTCCTCTTGTCAATTTTGAACTTTTTCTTTAAAAGGCATTTTTTTTTATCATCATGCAAAGGAAGTCCCATCTCGAATTATGCGGTCAAGCTATTGTCATTTATTCAATACAAGTAGAAGTAATGGAGGTTGGGTTAGCTTTTTACAAATTGAAGTAGATGGAAAGAAGAAAGGAAACAAAATTTCATAGACTTTTTGACCTCTTCCAATAGTTGAGATAATGTTATAACTAGGTTCTTTCTATTATTGCTTGTAGTTCTTAATAGTGCAGAAGTAAGCTGCTTTTTCTAAAAGCTTTAAGAAATTATTTGTAAAGAAGTTGAAATTTGCAAAAGTAATTTATGCAGAATTTTTCCAGTTTTGAGTATTTATAAAAACATTGCAGAAAATTATTAAATGGATAGCAAAAAATTGTATTTTCTACTTATTCATTGAACTTTAAGCTTTTATAAATTAAAATATGACAGTTTATGCTTCCTGTTTTATGAACTTTAAATGCAAAAGTTTAATCTTCAACTTTTTTAATATAATTTATTATAATAAATAAATTGAGTATATAACTGGCAATTTTTACTGTTAAAACTGGCTCATGTTGAATTTTTATAATAGTAATTTGAGTCATTATGTAAAGAAGAAGAAGAAAAATACATTTCTTCTCTCATTCAAGTA